AGAAGAAAGTCTCCAACAATTGAGAGAAAGCCAGAGTACACAAATGAAAAACATTAGTAAATTTCAAGGCCCGGCATGGCCAGGTGGTTAGGGCGCTCGACTCGTAATCTGAGGGTTGTGGGTTCGAATCCCAAACATGCCAACCTCCGCCTTTGCCTGGTCCCAAGTCCAGGATGAGAAAGGAGGATGTTTGGGCGCGAGGCTAGCAACTCCACCCCGTAAAAACCAACCTGCTACAAGTAACTGCAACAACAACTTCCGTTGGCGAGGTGTTGTTGCGGCCCTATGATCCACTAGGAGTTTTAGGGAATAAAAAAGTAAATTTCAAAGCGAATTATATATTGATTTGATATGTTAATATCAAAGTGATATATTAGCCATCGACTTTAGGAGAAGCTGCTTTATCTTGTACAAGAGATGAAATATTCTTTGGTTTACTTCAAAGGCTATATATATTTTATTTTCAGCGTCTGCTAACAGATGACATGTATTAAAAGAAAGGCAAATATTACCCTAAAACCACTTTCAGAAACCAGATGAGAGTGTCGCATAGATAGTGTGAAAGCTGTTACATTTCAACTCAAAGAGATCTGTGACCCATTATTGGAATTATCAGCAAATTGTAAGGGCGATTCCAAACTTCATAGTGAATGCGATTTTTTTTATTAGTGAGATTATGTTATATGTTTTTTTTAGTATCTGTTATCAAATGGCATGATCTTTTAATAAATGTAAAGAGTATCAGTTAATTATAGTAAAGTATTCACATGCATTTGGACAGCACTGTAAAACATACAAAAGAGTTTCTAAAACGGATTGGTGAATATTGATCAACAGGCTTTGAATCGGCACTTTCAACTGCCAACGATCTTGCTGAAAGTTTAGATACTGAAAAAGAATTTTAAAAAGTGTGACATCGAATAAAGAATGTTTGAAAATAAATCTTTATGAATTAGTATAGTCGGAAGTTTCTTTCAAATGCTAGTCAAATGCTACATTCACTATTGCAAGTATAACCCTTAGCAGTTTTCATGGCCAGAATAGCCTATACAAGACCCCCAAACTCTAGATCCGGCACTGCACCTAATGATAATGAAAATAACTTATTCATTTATTCAAATATAACATGCAAGCTCTAAATGTTACATTTGTTGTTAGGTATAACTCGCAAACTAAACTTAACAATCGCTTACTTGTTAAATTCTCTCTGCTATATATGACACAACTTAAAACTGGCTAACTAACACACTATTACACGGTAAGCAATCCATCGATAATACGGTAATGGATTCACAAACTAACTAATAATTCATTGAATCAGTGACTGACCAACTCTCCAACTAACAAACTAATTAACTATCCAACAATTTTCCGATAGTTTAACATTGTTAAATTATTTTTCCAGCCCTCCAATGGTACAGCGGTATGTCTGTGGACTTACATCGCTATAAACCGGTTTTCCAGTCGCTTGAGACTGGACCTCTGTCGCTTGAGACTGGCCCTTAGAGTGGTGCGGCGGTCTGCGTACCTCTCTGACCCATCGAGCTATACGGGATGGTGTTCCCGCGAATACCAGTAGAGCCACTCATACCCGGCAGGTCGATGGATAGAGGTCAGACCAACTCAGTCTCATCCCGCTGCCTTGCGGGTTAGGCTTTTTAGCCAAAGGCTTTGGCTGAGGACCCTAATTGTTCTCCTGTCTAGACCTGGGCGACCTGGCAGTATCCCAGCCCACACACAATCATGATGTAATAATAATTCATGATTGTGTGTGGGCTGGGATAC